TTTTCCTTTTCCTTCCCTTCCATTCCTATTCCTTTTCCTTCCTTTCCATTTCTATTCCTTCCCTTCCTTTTCCTTCCCTTCCCCCAGGATGCTCGGGAGGGCACTGGGAGCAGCATCTCTGTGGGATCTGCTTGAAGGTCCTTTCCAGCCCGATGGAATGGGCTATTCAGGACTGCACGAGGTCTCCTGGTCCACCCTATGGCTGCGTGTGCCAGGCTCTTGAGGCTCCCAATGAGGGCTCCTCCTCCTGCACGATGCCTGGAAGCTGCTTTTCCTTCCCAGCCTCATCCCAGCGCTGTCCGAAAGGGAGCCGTTGTGCCGAGCACATCAAGGACAAAGCAGAGCTGTGAACCCGCTCCAGCCCCGAGATAAGAGCCAGTATAATTAGAAACGTTTTATGTGGAGACATGAATCAAAGCTGCTTCTCCTCCTGGGACGTTTTAACCCTTTGGAGCTTCTATTCTGAATGGTGGAACCCGTTTCTCTTCGTTTCGAGCCAGGAAAACCATCCCATAAGGAAGAATCCCTCTCCGAGCTGACCCCTGAGCTGCTTGACCCATGGAGCATGGCCCATCCAGGGACATGGAGACAGGAACACAACAGGAATCCTGGAGACATGGGCAATGTGGACAGTACCTGGGTGCTGTGAGTGATGCTCAGGGCTTGGAGCATCCTGCTCTAGCAGAAGGTGTTCCAGCTTGGAACTGGAGGAGCTTCAAGGTCCCTTCAACCCAACCCATTCCAGGATGCTATGGACTCAAAAGCCTCGTCCAGCACTGCAGGGATGGGCAGCCCCAGCTCCAGCCCCTTTAGCTGTTCCCTTTCATTTCCTTCTAACTGGCTTCCTCTTTTCAAGTCATTTAAAGCCCTTTTCCAATCCCTGCTGCTGCAGCCGCCTCTTTGGGCTCTTGGATGTTCAATTTGAGTGTATTAGAGCCAGTGTATATGTATCTATATAAAAAGCCTCTCTTTGATAGTGATGTATTGATCCAGGGCCTGCGTGTTACTCTGGAATAAATCAACAGTTACTTCTCCCCTCGTAAAGCCTTTCACTTGCTTCACAGACTGCCATTTCGGATCTAAAGCCCCTTTTCACCCCAAACCAGAAGCAGCTTCTCCAGCCCAAATACGTGTCCCCCCAATGCCCAAAGTCTCTTTCCCAGCAGCTGAGGGATGCAAAGCTGGATCTATAGCCTGCTAATGCTTTATGGATTGCATGGATTAAACCATTCCAACCACCAATTCATTCCCTGCTCAGGTGAGAACTCGTGCCCAGTAACAGGAGAGGTTACTACAGCCAAGCTTTGCCGTCCTGCCCTGACGTTTCCCAGTTACCAAGGAGAAAGTCCCGTTGGATTGGTCTTTATTCCCTGGCTTTCTGCCACTTTTCCCAGGAACGTTTTCCTTCTGATGGCTGTTTTCTTTGCAGCCATTCCAACGCCTTGTTTTGGGTGCGCATCGACACCCAACACAGCGTTCATCGGGGCGGATGCGATGCCTTTGCAGAACGAACTCCTGGATCCTCCAGAAGCAATTCCTGCATTGTTTGCAGCATCTACATCAGAACTGCATGAAACCAGCGTTCAAACCACAGTGGAGAGCTCAGGGAGAGGGCTTGGGGAGGGTCTGAGCGCCGCTGGACCTATCCCAGCGCTTGGGAAGCAGCTTGAGCATCCATGGAGGATGCGGTGCCAGGATGTGGAGTCAGCCCCGCGCTGTGCCCAAGCCAGGAGCTAATAAATGTCACCGAGCCCGCACAGAGGAGATTAGAAATGGCCATTTGGAGCTTGGCCACCAGCCCGAGCCACAGCGGATCCCTGTGCAACGTGAAGGGACTGTGGGAGAAGCTCATCTGGAATTCAAGGCTCACCCCAGCGGGTTAATCCGCCTCGGGAATCACTGCAGGACCACGGTCCAAATCCCAGCTGCCAGCCACTGCATCCTGCTCCAGTTACCAGCCTGGGAGACCTGGGCTTTGCTGAGACACCGAGGCTGGGCCCACGGCTCAGGAAGCCCTTGGATGCTCTTAGAAACCCAGCAGTGGAAGCAGATAAGGGTTATCTGATGCTCCAGTGACCTCCATGTCTTCCCTGGTCACTGTGTCTCCGAGCAGCACCATCCCTCATCCGTTCAACCTGCATTCCTCAACTGCCACTCATGGAATCCTGGAATGGTTTGGGTTGGAAAGGACCTTAAATCATCCAGTTCCATGGGCAGAGACACATCCCATAGTGCTACATTCAGCCTTGGTAAAGCATTTAGCTCCAGAGCCTTATTGAAGCATCACTTTAGTTCCAGCTCAGCAGATCACCAGCCCTCCCCTCATCATCTGCAAGGGGGCACCATTGGGTTTTGGAGCACGACCCAACACAGGCTGAGCTGGAAGCACCCAACAGCACAACTTGTGCCCAGACTTCGCCCTGAATAAGCATCAGGTCCAGACGCAGCACTGGGTTTGTCTTCACTCCCTACTCCCGTGTTCTCTGCTGCTCCCGGGTCAGAACCAGCACCGCTGGGGACCACGGAATGTGGCTCAGCTCCACACCCCCGCTGGTCCCAGGGGGTTGAGTTCTGCCTCTGCAGCATCCCTGTTAGGGCAGCGGGAGGTGACTGAGATCTGGCTGCCCCCAGGAGCCTCTGCAGCTTCCCTGCTCCATCCCAGCCTCCCAGTGGAGCCTCCCGTGGCCACGCTCAGCCCACGTTATCCCCACATCTGCCCCCGCCAGCACCTCCAGCTCCGCTGAGGGCAGCAGGATGAGGCCACACCGGGAGCAGCATCCCCTTTAGGGCCGCATCCAGGCTGAAATCAAGGAGCAGCGATCCGATGTGACCAGCAGAAAGCTGTTCCTCCCACAGCCCCTTCCCACGGAGCGGATGACTAATGGAGACATCCCTCTCACACAGCTCCGTGCAGGAGGGGACCGGGGTGCAGGCTCAGCACCGCGGCACGTGAGGAGGAGTTTATGCTGATGTGTGAAACGTGCTTGTTCAGACCTCCTGAAGCAAAAGGGGTTAATTCCCCCTCTAGGGCTGGCAGGAGAGAGCTCTCGGGTGTTATCATCCAATGGATGGATGACAGCGGATAAAGGAGTTTCCTGGGAGATGCTTTGGGAGAGCAAGGGCTGGACCGTGGCTTTTAGGGATCGGCAGACAAGGACTGGAACAGATTTCACCCCAAATGTGACTGAGCTGCGAGTCTGAACGAGGATCAGTGCATGGGCTGCTGCCGGGATGGAATTACTCAAGCCCAGGGACCAGAGCCAGCCCCAAGCATGTGGGCGGCACAACCACAGAATCACACTGGTTTGGGTGGGAAGGGACCTTAAAGCTCATCCAGCTCCAACCCCTGCCACGGGCAGGGACCCCTTCCACTGGAGCAGGATGCTCCAAGTCCAACCTGGCCTTGAACACTGCCAGGGATGGGGCAGCCACAGCTTCTCTGGGCACCCTGTGCCAGCGCCTCAGCACCCTCACAGGGAAGAGCTTCTGCCTAAGAGCTCATCTCAGTCTCCCCTCGGGCAGGTTAAAGCCATTCCCCTTGGCCTGTCCCTGCATCCCTTGTCCCAAGCCCCTCTCCAGGTTTCCTGCAGCCCCTTCAGGCACTGGAGCTGCTCTCAGGTCTCCCCTTCAGGAGCCTTCTCTTCTCCAGGCTGCCCCAGCCCAGCTCTCTCAGCCTGGCTCCATGGCAGAGCTGCTCCAGCCCTCGCAGCAGCTCCGTGGCCTCGCTCCAGCAGCTCCACGTCCCTCTGGTGCTGCTGCCCCAGAGCTGGATGCAGGATGCAGGGCTGGGGGGGTCACAGAGCGTAGCAGAGGGGCAGGATCCCCTCCGTGCCCCTGCTCCCGCCCTGGGGGTGCTCCCAGCACACGGGGACCGGGTCCTGCTCACCCTCAGGGCTGATGGGGAGCAGGAACGACATCCGGACAAAACGTGACTCCACTTGGACCAGGGCTCCTCAGCCGGGGGGTGGGATGGGGGCCACCAGGACCACGGGGACCATCGGGATCACCAGGACCATCAGGATCACCATTGGGATCATCGTGATCTACTTTGGGATAACCGGGATCACCACTGGGATCACCAGGATCACCAACGGGATTACCGGATCACCGTTCGGATCACCGGGACCACCACTTTGATAACCAGGATCACTGTCAGGATAACCAGGATCACTATTGGCATCAGCAGGATCGCCACTGGGATCACTGGGATTACCACTTTGATAACCGGGATCACCACCAGGAAACCCGGGATCACCATTGGGATCATGGGGATCACCTCTGGGATAACCGGGATCACCACCGGGATACCCGGGATCACCATTGGGATCATCGGGATCACCGCTGGGATACCTGGGATCACCTCTGGGATAACCGGGATCACCAGCGGGATACCCGGGATCACCATTGGGATCATTGGGATCACCGTTGGGATACCCGGGATCACCACCGGAATCACCATTGGGATTACCAGGACCACCTCTGGGATAACGGGGATCACCACCGGGATCACCATTGGGATTACCGGGATCACCTCTGGGATACCCAGGATCACCATTGGGATAACCGGGATCACCACCGGGATCACCATTGGGATCATCGGGATCACCTCTGGGATAACCGGGATCACCATCGGGATACCCAGGATCACCACCGGGATCACCATTGGGATTACCGGGATCACCTCTGGGATAACCGGGATCACCACTGGGATACCAGGGATCACCATTGGGATCATCAGGATCACTGTTGGGATAACCGGGATCACCATTGGGATTACCGGGACCACCGGCATCCCCACCGGCATCACCGGCACCGCCGCCGCCCCGCGCGCACCTGCCTCCCGCGGGGAGCCGCGCATGTGGAGCGCACCACCGCGGCCCGGGACGCGGGGGGGGGCCGGCGGCCAGAGCGGGCATGTTTACACGGGGGCCGAGGGGGGCGGCATCAGCGCCGTTCCCCCCCCATCACGGCTCCCCCCCCCCCTAACCGGTCCGTTCCCCCCCCCCCCCCCCCGGCAGGAATGGTCTGTTCCTCGCGCTCTATTTAACCCGCGCCGCTGCCGCACCGCCGGCCCCAGCCCCGACACCGGCGGCGCGCTCGGTGCCACCGGAGGCTCCGCGCTGCGGCTCGGCTCGGGCACCGCCGCAGCGATGCTGCCCCTCGGCCTCCTCCTGCTGCTGCTCCTCGCCTGCTGCGGGGCCGCCCGGGGAAACCTCTCCCGCGACGGTGAGTGCGGGACCGGGCACCGGCGGGACCCCCCGCACCGCTCCCCGGCGGCCCTCGCCCCTCCCGCCGCACCGAGCGACAGGTTGCGGGCGGCGCCGCCGTTATGTGGGTCACGGCGCCCGCCCCGCTCCCGGCGGGGCTTGGGGTTGGGGTTCGGGGGGTGGCTCCCGGTGGGGCTCAAGGTCACGGCGGCTCCGGTGCTGCCCCGCCGGGGGCCCCCATCCCCGCGCACCGCCCGGGGCGGGGCCGGGGCGGCGGAAGGTTCCAGACAGGCCCCGGCGGGCGGCGGCGCGGGTGGAGCCGGCGGGGGGGGGGGGGGGGATGGCGGCGGGCGGAGGTGCCCTGGGGGGGTCCGGCCGCATCCCCCGGGGGTGGCGGGGGCGGTGGGGGGGCCGATCCCCCTCGTACAGCCCGGTGGGAGCCCCCCCCCCCATCATCCCCGGGTGTCCGCTCCGCATCCCGTCGGGATGCCCGGAGCATCCATCCCGGCATCCATCCGGTTGGTTCCACACACGGGGTTCGCTGGAGACAAAGGGTGTTTACCCGGCGTACGGCACCGCGGGCGAGGCAGCCGGGAGCGGGGAATGTCATTTTGGGGAGGGCTGGGCAATGGCAACACCCGGTTCTCCATCACTGTCCAGCACCGGAGCCGCGATTCCGGCTGCGTTGTCCGTGATCCAATTGCCGGGAATGTGTTTGGATGAGGAGCAGGTCGCAGGGAGCGGCAGCAGCGTCTGTGTTTTGGTGGTGGTGGGGGGGGGGGGGTGTTGCAGTGGGAAAGGGTCCAGCCACTGTCTGAGCCCCTGCCTGTGGCTTGCTGGAAGCAGGGAGGCAATTCCAGCTTGGGAATGGTCTTCCCAGGGCTGCTGCGGTGGATGGGGGGTCCGAGCCCCATCGCGTTGTGCTGGAGGAGGTGGTTGTCACGGGCAGAGCTGCTCTGGGGGCTGGTGCTGCTCCATGGCTGCGTTCCCATCCACGAATGCCAGGGTTTATTCTGGTTCTGGCCACGTAACCTCCCACAGGAGCCCGAAAGAGTCACAGCGTGTGTGGGTGCTGCCCGGCCCCACGGCACGGGGACAGCACCATGGGGATGCTCAGCACCGGGGGTCCCCAGGGTGCTGCCTTAGGAGGGATGGCTGTGACCTGGAGCCCTGTGGTCCTGGGGCAGGACACAGCTGGGATGATGACACTGCAGGATTTCTTCCTGCTGCTGGGGCCCAGCCCTGGTCCGTGAGCTGCCCGGTTCTCCATGTCCAACACAGACAAGACCCCGCAGAGCCTTTGGGAGCAGAGGGGATGGATGGAAGATGCTTGAGAAGCTGCTGGCGTGTCTCGGTGGTCAGTGCCCCTCAGCATGGCATTCCAGCTGGGACAGCCGCTTCCCAAAGCAGGGATGGAGAAACCATCTCCTCTCCTTGAAGAACGCTTTTCCAATGCTCCAGATTCCGGAGCTTCCACCATGGCAGAGCCCAGCGGAGCTCCTGGGAGTCTCCCTGCTGCTGGAAGCTGGTGCCTCCCCCCGGGGCTGTGTGTGCTTGGCTGGGGTTGTGCTGCTGTCAGCAGATTGCTCCGTGTTTGGGTTGGGTGCGTGGTTGTTCTTGCTCCGAGGATTATTCCCCCCCCATGGAGATATTCCCCTCCGGAGTTGTGTAACCCCTTTGTTTGAACAGTGCCCGACTGTTGTCCCATGGGAAGCCACCATGTGCCAGAACCCGGCTTCTCGGGGCTGCTTCTGCCTGTGCTCACCCCGCTGTGGGCCACGAGCAGCACCGTGGGGAGCTGAGCTCCGGTCTCACTGTACCAGAGCCGCTCCGCTCATCGCTTGCGTTGCTCCTGCTGGGAGAAGCCTCAGTGCTGAAGGTCCTGGAGCTGGGGCTGCCTGGTTGGGGGGGTAAATGGGGCAGCTCTGGGTCTGTCGATGTTTTGGCTTGTTGGGTGCCTTGTGCCCCATGTCTCTGCTGGCTGAGGATGCTCTGGAGATCGCCTTGAGGTGGAGCACGGCGAGGTGAGCTTCCTGGTGCTTGCAGGGAGGCAGGGGCAGGCTGGCCCCATGCCACAAGGTGGCTTCATCTCTGAAGCCGGTGGAGGTGCTTGGTCAGAGCACGCAGGAGGAGCTTTCTCTGCCCTGTGCTTCCAGATGGTGTCCTTCCAGTAAGGAATCATCTGCCCTGTGTGGGAACAGGGGTGGGAGCACAGGGAGAGGTTTGGGGTCCCGCAGGGTTCCCCCATCTCTGGCAGGTGATGGTCCCATGGTCCTGAAGCTCTGAGGGGAGGTATCAGCTCTGGTCCTGTGGGAATCTGGGACTTCCAGCCCATGGCATCAGTGGGATGAGCCCCGGTGTGCAGGGCTGGGTGGTGGGAATGCATCGTTCCATGCGGCCCCAGAGCTCTCCATGCACCTGGGAGCACCCCGGTGAGGTGCAGGCGTTGCTCCATGGCCTGTTCTTTGGTGATGGATCAGCTGCCCGCAGGAAGCACGGGATGATCCTAGGATGAGGATGTTGGCAGGAGCAGAGCATCCAGCCGCTGGCACAATGCATTAGGCTCAACGGGGAGCACTGGATTTGGAGACAATGCATGGGATCAAGTGGTGATCCCACTGCATACCCAGACAGTGAGGGATGTGCTGGCATCACTGCTGGGGGGGGGCAGATTTCTGCCGCTGTCCTGAGCATGGGCTTGGGATTTGGCTGCTGAGGACAAGGGGGGGATTTGCTGGGAGCTTCCTGGTTGGAGGAGGAGGAATTCCCAACAGACCTAAATCACCAGCCGGGTACCTCCAAGTGTGGGCACCATCCTTATCTGGGTGGAGATGGAGGGAAGCGTCCAGGATTCCCTGCCTGGGAGGTCTCCTGCGTGCTGGATGCTGCCTCTTCTCCCTCTGCCTGGAATTCTCACCTTCCAGAGGTGTTGGGATTGCCGGAGTAACCGGGGGCGTCTACATCTGGGTGCTCCCACCAACGTTATCGCTTGGTTTCACTGGGCCGGGTTCAGCCTGGTTTTACCCCATCCATGGTGCCCCCCGGGTGAGGAGGAGCAGGATGCAGGTGCCTTTGGGGTGGTGATGCTCCAATGGATCCATTTCCCCCTGGATCTATGTGGCAGAGTGGGGGCTGCTCCCTGTGCCGGTGCCTGGTTTGGTACCACCGGTGCCTTGTCTCCATCTGAGCCCTTCTGCAGGCTCCTTCCCCAGCCCCAGCCTGGCCACCGGCTGCTGATGGAGTGGCACAGATTGAGCTGCCTCCTCCATGGGGCCTCGGGGGCGATGCCAGCCCTGTCACAGCCCTGGAGTCAGATGCATCGGATCCTCCTCCTCCTCCTCTCCATTACTGGGTCAGCTCAGCTTGAACCATCTGGTCCAGTTCTCTCCCCTCCGCTCTTGGCCAGGGCCCCGCAGCCGTGGAGCGAAGCAGCAGCATCACCTCCACCTCCCCTTCATCACGCAGCAATGAGGGGGGGGGGGTGCAAATCACCTCCTGCCCCAGCACCTCCATCCTCTTTCCAGGGCAGGTTGGGAATATCCAGCCTGGAATAGCGGGTCTCAGCCCCATGGCAGGGGTTGGAACTGGATGAGCTTTAAGGTCCCTTCCCACCCAGACCATTCTGTGATCCTGTGCTATGGGGCTCTCCCTCCCGCTCTGAAAGAGCTCCCACATTCCCCCTGGGCTGTGTGGCAGGGGGATGGACTGGAGCCAGGCTGGGCTCGGATGCGGTGATGCTCTGTTGTGTTTGGGATGCCGGCAGCCCTAAACGCAGCCGGGGCTGCCTCAAGCGAGCAGGCGGGATGCAGGGAAGCGGAGATCCGTGTGGAGAGATGGGCAGGAATGTGTTTAACCATTCCAGTCACCTGCCTGGCGTCATGCTCTGCCTCCGGTGTGATGCTGAGGGTACCGGCTCCCTCCGCCCGGGTGCCATCGGCTCTAACATGGATGGTGGCATCTTTCCTGGTGACCCTGTCGCTGTGAGATCCTCCTCTTGGTGCTGCAGGGACCTGCCTCTTCCTCAGGTGATGCTCCAGGCCGGGCTCCACCTCCTCTTCTTCACCTTAAATGCTTCAGGCAGTGGATTTACTGGTGAGCCCCATGTGGGGCGTTATCTTCAGGCCAAAGCTTTTGTGGCTGCTTCCAGGCCTTCGTTTCCAGGGAGAAGCAGGAACAGGTTGTGCTGATGGCTGCCCCATCCCTGGCAGTGTTTAGAGCCAGGCTGGACACAGGGGCTTGGAGCAAGCTGCTCTAGTGGAAGGGGTCCCTGCCCATGGCAGGGGGGTGGAACTGGATGAGCTTTAAGGTCCCTTCCAACACAGACCATTCCAGGATTGTGGACTGAGTGGCTGCAGGCAGATGCTGTGCAGGAGCCGGGATCCCTTCCTCACACAGGGCTGGTGGTACCAGAAGACAGGGACCCCATGGCCCTATGAGGAGCTGTTCCCCAGAGGTGGGATGTGTTTGGCTGTGTCCATGCCTGGTCCTCCTTTCTGTGCCATTGCTCCATCTCCCAGCCTGATGTGGAAGCCATGGGGAGAGATGGTCCTGGTGGTGTCTTCAGGCCCCTTCACCCTGAGCACGCAGACGCAGGTCAGCATCACGGTGCTTCCCAGGGGAGGGTTTTGTCTCCCATCTCCCCAGCTTCGGTTCCTGGCTTTTGGCTTTCCTCTCCTTGGGATGCTGGGGATGTCACCTCCAAACAGGACAGACCCTGCAACCACAGCGATGATCTGGCGGGCTACAGCCAATGCTGAGAGCGCTTCCCATTGGGCATCTATTGGGATATGAGGACTCCCAGGACTGGAAGTCACCTGGAAGACCAGAGCAGAGCTGAACCTGTATCCTCACCCCTTGAAACGCCTCTTCCCTCCCATCATTGCAGGAAGCCAGGAGGATGCCCGTGGATGCGCTGTCCCCGTGGATGCGCTGTCCCCGTGGATGCGCTGTCCCCGTGGATGCGCTGTCCCCGTGGATGCGCTGTCCCCTCGGATGGGAGCTGCCAGGGCTTCCCCATGTCCTGCTCCCGTTACAGCCTCACGTTGGCTCCTTGGGCAGCGCTCTGGAGCGTTCGGATGCCTCCAAAGCACGGAGCGACATTCCAGGGCATGGGAAGCGGCGGCTCCCGCGACGCCTCGCTGGGCAGCGGGAGAGCCTTAAACCAGATCTGTCAAAGCAAAGAGCTGGTTCCCTTGGCAACAGCCGTGCCGGAGATTGGCCTTGGACTGGGAGCGAAGGAACAGGCTCCAAAGAGGAGTTATCAGCTGTTTGCTGTCAAACAGGAGGAGGGTCAGCCCTGCCCATCGCCCGCCCGAGCCGCTGCTCCTTCCCATGGGAAGCAGCCCCCTTTGCGGATGGATTTGATGCTGGGGATGCGTGGTCCAGAACAGGGCTCTCTCCTCCTCATCCCTGCCCAAGGACTTGGAGCTTTGGCCTTTGGCTGGTGGTGGTGGCTGCATCCTCCCATCCATGTGGCCTCAGGAGCACCGGGATTCCCTGACGGTGCCTTTGTGGAGCCCCCAGACCTGTGTGAGTGCACAAACCCAGAGTGGAGCTGCAGCCAACGCTGCTGCTGCCATCAGGGGTTCCCCAGCTCCCATCCCAGCAATGGGGCTGATCCAGCCCCGGAGCACTGGGACAGGGTGGGGGTGTGAGGAGGAGGATGGGGACGGAGCATCCTGGGATCCAGCAGCACTTGGAGCCAGCCTCTCCTCTCCTCCTCTCCTTGCTGCTGATGGGTTGCTAAGTGCTGGCCACAAGCAGCTCAGGCTTTGGCCATGCCCATGGGCAGGGTCTGTCAGGGGTGATGGTGTTCCCGAGCTCTGGAAGGAGGATGCAGCTCTGGAATCACCCAGGGTCAGGTCCTGGTGCTCCTTGGAGCAGGACCCTGCTGCAGGAGCAGCAGTGGGGTGGTGGAGGCTGCGACCAAAGCATCTTGTGTGGCCTCAGGAGGACCTGAGGGCTGTGATGGGGAGCTGGGTCCTTGCGCTTTGCCCTTCCCCAGAGCACGCTGAGGGATGTGTCCAGAGAGAGGATCCCAGCTCCGTGTGTGGGGATGGGAGCTGGGCTCTGTTATGGACAAGCAGAGCCCCAACCTGTGCCAGCATCTCAGCCCCCTCCCATGGAAGGGTGCTGGAGGTGCTGCAGGAGGCTCCGTGCCCTGTGGCTCCCAGAGGGATGAATCCTCTGAGGCCGGATTCCAAAGGCAGCCATGGAGGGAAGAGGATGGAGCAGATGCACGGAAACAAGAGCAGGTTTTCCCTCTCTAACAAAATCTGGAGCGAGTCTGGTGAGGAGGAGCTGGAAGCTGGGCTCCGGGTATCCCAGACTGTGGAACTGCAGCTCATCTGGTGCAGCAGATGTCAGAGCCCATTTGGAAGGCTTTGGAACCCACCTTGGCCGGGCTGCTCCGTGTGGCAGGATGCGGCTGGGAGCGGAGCTGTGCAGCTCATGTGGAGGGAAGGATTCAAACCCAGGCTCGGAGGGGATCCCTCGCCTTGGAAAAGGTCTGTCAACAGGGAAAGGTGGGATCTTTGTGCTGGAACCAGGCTGAAGAGGAGGAGGAAGGGGACAAGAGCGTTTTGGGCTGTGGGTCAATGGCATTGGAGGGGTTTGAGCTGGGAGAGGGTGTCTTTTGGGGCTGCTTCTGCCCCACAGAAGTGCTTTTGCAGCCCTCTGAGGGGCTCGGGATGGATGTGCCCAAGCGCCTCCTCCAGCCTTTGGCAGCCCTCAGTGAGCACTTTGCCCCGCTGAGGTTGGTGTGGATGCACCATGGAGGCTGCGATGCTGCTGCTTCCTGCATCCCTGAGGATGCTCCAGGTGATGAAACAGCTCCTGGGAGGCAGAAGGGATGTAAAAGCCCCCGGTGATGCGGTGCTGCAGAGGGTGTTTGTGTCTATGTAGGAGCTGGGGTGGCCCCTGGGACAGTGGGAGCAGCAGCTCTGTCCTGGCAGTGGGCAGATGGTACCCAAGTGCCCAGCACATCCCGGGCTCACAGGGGCTGGATTAACCCTTGTGCCGGGAAGAGCTGGAAGTGTTCACTGCAGCCGGGTTTCCAGAGCATCCTTGTGCCCCCGGGATGCTGCTGGCACCCGGGGTGGTGGCTCCGAGGCCAGAGGAAGCCATGGAGCTGCTGCGAGGGCTGGAGCAGCTCTGCCATGGAGCCAGGCTGAGAGAGCTGGGCTGGGGCAGCCTGGAGAAGAGAAGGCTCCTGAAGGGGAGACCTGAGAGCAGCTCCAGTGCCTGAAGGGGCTGCAGGAAACCTGGAGAGGGGCTTGGGACAAGGGATGTAGGGACAGGCCAAGGGGAATGGCTTTGACCTGCCCGAGGCTGAGCTGAGCTCTTAGGCAGAAGCTCTTCCCTGTGAGGGTGCTGAGGCGCTGGCACAGGGTGCCCAGAGAAGCTGTGGCTGCCCCATCCCTGGCAGTGCTCAAGGCCAGGTTGGACACAGGGGCTTGGAGCATCCTGCTCCAGTGGAAGGGGTCCCTGCCTGTGGAGCTGGATAAGCTTTAAAGTCCTTCAACCCAAACCATTCCATGGTTCCGTCTCTCCCCATACCCGGGTGATGCCGGTGCTGGTGGTGCCGGTGTTGTTAAGGGATGGGGCCTGCTCTGGGTGGGTTTTGCTGTCCTCAGCTGACGTTGGAGCGCTTGCAGTGGGGACAACAGCGACTCGCAGCAGCCTCATCCCAGCATTGCAGCCGGAGCAGGACAAAGGCTTCGTTAACCAAGTGGAACCGGGATAACGGCCCCGGCGCAGGGATCCCAGTGTGGGACGTGCAGGGACGTGTCCCCATGGCCTCACATCGACCCCAGGCAGGGGACAGCAGCAGCGCTTCACCCCGGGGATGCCTTTAATCCCAATTGGAAGCATCTCTGGTAGTGGTGGCTGCTGGAAGCAGGCAGAGAGGGATCCGGGTCATTCCCAGCCCTGGTTTTCCTGGAGCTGGATGTCCCTGGGAAGCCCCGGCAGCCTCATCCCCCTCCAAAACCTCGCTCCCTGTGGGAATTCGCATTAGGAGTGGAAGAAAAGTGTTTCCCTTCGCCATTCCAAGCGGGAAATGGGCTGGAGCCGCTTCCACCCCTCTCCTGGTAACTGGCAGTGGGGAAGCAGGGCTGTGACATCCGGCTGCATGGGCAGCATCCCACAGGGTGCTGAGGCCATGTCCCTGCCTAAATGGGGGGGGGGGGGGGGGGGGGGGGGGGGGGGGGGGGAGATGATGTGAAGCCCCTGGGTGCAGCAGTGGCCATGTTCCGTCCTTGTCCATGGATGGAGCTGGATGAGGAGGGAGCGCAGCGGAGCCCGTGTCCCCCTTGTCCCTGCAGCACATCCCTTGTCCTTGGGGGGGATACCTGATCCCGGGGCTGCTCTTCCCTGCCCTTGGGCTGCTGGAGCCCTCTGAGGAGCCGGAAGGAAGGACAATTCCTTAGGTGAGGAAGCACAGCCCAGTGTGAGCAATAGCACATCCCCTTAGGAATGGCAGAGAGCAGGCTGTGTTCCCAATGGATTTCAGTGGGCCATGGATGCTCTTCCTGGAGGTGGCCAATGGAGCATCCCATGGTGTGGGGCGCTGGTGGGAGCCCCAGTTTGCTGCTGCTGCTGGGGTGCTGGAGCGGAGCTTCCCCCATCCCAGGGTCCCTCCTGGTGAATCCCTGTTCCCGCCTGGATCCGCTCATGCCTGGTGGGCACCAAGCAGCTCCTGCATCTGAAGTGGGGCCAGATCCGAGTGGGAAAGCAGGGCTGGTGCGTGCCTGAGAGCAGGTCCCTGTTAACCCCTGCTCCCTTTATCCCTGTTCCCTTTGCCCCCTCCATGCTGCCACTCAGAGCAGCTGAACCAGGGGGACCCCATCCCCTGCTCCATCCAGGGCTTGGGATCAGCTGGAAATCACCTTTGTCCCAAGCAAGCTGGAGCCCTCCCATGTCCCAGGGGCTTGGGGCCTGTTCCTTCCCTTGGGTGCTTGGGGATGCTGATGGATCCAGGCCCCCTTTAACCCATCCCTTCTGTGTCCAGAGAGCCAGCCCACGACGTCGGATGAGACCGTGGTGGCCGGCGGTACCGTGGTCCTCAAGTGCCAAGTGGAGGATCCCGATGACTCCTCGCTGCAATGGTCCAACCCTGCCCAGCAGACCCTCTACTTTGGGGAGAAGCGAGGTACAATTGGGAATTGGGATGGGAGAGGAGCCAGCTTTGGGACCACGGGGCAGAGGGAGAGCGGTGGTGGTGGTGCCGAGGGTGATGCTCACCCTGTTTCCCACCTCCGTTGATGCCACGTGAGCTGGCAGGGGGGATGTGGTACCGAGCCTCTCACTCACCCCTTGTCCCTTTGCCCCAGCCCTGCGGGATAACAGGATCCAGCTGGAGAAATCCACCCCCAACGAGCTGACCATCAGCATCAGCGATGTGGTGCTGTCGGATGAGGGGGAATACACGTGCTCCCTCTTCACCATGCCCGTGCGGACCGCCAAGGCCCTGGTCACCGTGCTGGGTAAGGCTGCTGCCCGTGGCCTGCATCTCCTGCTGCCCATTCCCTGCTCACAGGCTGCTGCCCATCCTCTGCATCTCTTGCTGCCCATCCCCTGCCTGCAGGCTGCTGCCCATCCCTTGCATCCCCTGCCTGCAGGCTGCTGCCATCCCTTGCATGTCCTGCCTGCACGATGTTGCCCATCCCTTGCATGTCCTGCCTGCAGGATGTTGCCCATCCTTTGCATCCCCTGCCTGCAGGATGTTGCCCATCCCTTGCATCCCCTGCCTGCAGGATGCTGCCCATCCCTTGCATCCCCTGCCTGCAGGATGTTGCCCATCCTTTGCATCCCCTGCCTGCAGGTTGTTGCCCATCCCCTGCCTGCAGGTTGTTGCCCATCCCCTGCCTGCAGGATGTTGCCCATCCCTTGCATCCCCTGCCTGCAGGCTGCTGCCCATCCCTTGCATCCCCTGCCTGCAGGCTGCTGCCCATCCCTTGCATCCCCTGCCTGCAGGCTGCTGCCCATCCCTTGCATCCCCTGCCTGCAGGCTGCTGCCCATCCCCTGCCTGCAGGATGTTGCCCATCACCTGCATCCCCTGCCTGCAGGCTGCTGCCCATGCATCCATTCCTCTGCGCTGCTCCGCATCCCTCACCGCGTTCCCCGGCTCCGGTGTCGGTGCCCGGCTGGCAGCGCTCACACACCCCCCTCCCCGTTGTGCTCCCACCTCCTCCTGCCCCAGGAGTGCCGCAGAAGCCGCAGATCTTCGGGCACGAGCAGCCCATCGACGAGGAGAAGCTGGCGCGCTTGACCTGCCGCTCGTCGGGCAGCAAGCCCGCGGCACAGCTCCGCTGGAGGAAGGGCAACAAGGAGCTCAAAGGTGGGTGCCCGAACCACCGTTGGGCACCATGGACCACGCTGCCCCAAAGGGATGCTCCGCAGCGGTGCCAGCATCGCCCGCATCCGTCAGCTCTGACCCTGCCTTGTCCCCCTCCCTGCAGACGAGGGCACCGAGGTGGTGGAGGATCCCAATGGGAAGACCTTCACCGTGAGCAGCCGCGTGGAATTCCGGGTCACCAAGGAGGACAACGAGGCCGAGGTGACCTGCACCGTGGACCACGAGTCGCTGCAGAACGCAGAGAGGTCCACCACGCAGAAGCTGCAGGTTCACTGTACGTGGAGGGGGGCACAGGGCAGGGATCTGTGGGGAAGGGGGACAGGGGATGGGAGAGCCTCAGCATCGCCACAGCTCGGCACCATCACATGCATGGACGTGCAGTTGTCACGCACGGGGGTCCCTGCATCGTGTGGGGAAGGGGTTTGGGGTGCTGCTGGGGTCCATGTGCTGCATGGAACAAGGTTTTGGGGTGCTGGCTGGTCCCTGCAGCCCATGGGAAAAGGTTTTGGGGTGCTGCTGGGGTCCGTGTGCCGCATGGAACAAGGTTTTGGGATGCTGGCTGGTCCCTGCAGCCTATAGAGCTGGGGTTTGGGGTGCTGGCTGGTCCCTGCAGCCTGTGGAGCAGGGTTTTGGGATGCTGGGGGGTCACTGCAGCCCATAGAGCTGGGGTTTGGGGTGCTGCTGGGGTCCATGTGCCGCATGGAACAAGGTTTTGGGGTGCTGGCTGGTCCCTGCAGCCCGTGGAGCAGGGTTTTGTGGTGCTGGCTGGTCCCTGCAGCCCATAGAGCTGGGGTTTGGGGTGCTGCTGGGGTCCGTGTGCCACATGGAACAAGGTTTTGGGGTGCTGGCTGGTCCCTGCAGCACATGGAACAGGGTTTTGTGGTGCTGGCTGGTCTCTGTGCCATATGGAGCAGGGTTTTGTGGTGCTGGGGGGGTCCCTGTGCTGCACAGAACAGAGTTTTGGTGTGCTGATGAGTCCATGCACTGTGTGGAATAGGATTTTGGGGTGCTGGCTGGTCCCTTGCAGCTCATGGAGGAAGGTTTTGTGGTGCTGGCTGGTCCCTGTGCCATATGGAGCAGGGGTTTGGGGTGCTGGTGGGTCCATGCCCTGTGTGGGGCAGGGTTTTGGAGTGCTGGCTGGTCCCTGCAGCCCATGGAGCAGGGTTTTGTGGTGCTGATGGGTCCTTGCCCTGTGTGGGGCAGGGCTTTGGGGTGCTGGCCCCTGACGCTGCCTCTCCTCCATCCCCAGACAAGCCGACAGCGAAGATCGAGCCGCATCCGCAGTACCCGCGGGAGGGCGAGAAGCTGCAGCTGCAGTGCGATGGGCAGGGCAACCCCATGTAAGGACCCCCTTGCCCCTCGCTCAGCCCCACCAGGTCCCATCAGCTCCTCCTCCTGCTGCTGGGTCCCTAAAGCAGCCTCAAGGTGTTGGAGGTGGCACCGGCTGGGCTCAGAGCTGGGCAGAGCCCCTGGAGCAGCGGATCCATCCCGGCTTGTTTTAAAGGGGATGTTTCATGGGATCATAAACTGGTTTGGGTTGGAAGGGACCTTAAAGCTCATCCAAAGCCCTGGACAGGGACCCCTTCCACTGGAGCAGGATGCTCCAAGCCCTGTGTCCAACCTGGCCTTGAGCACTGCCAGGGATGGGGCAGCCACAGCTTCTCTGGGCACCCTGTGCCAGCGCCTCAGCACCCTCCCAGGGAAGAGCTTCTGCCTAAGAGCTCAGCTCAGTCTCCCCTCGGGCAGGTTAAAGCCATTCCCCTTGGCCTGTCCCTGCATCCCTTGTCCCAAGCCCCTCTCCAGCTTTCCTGCAGCCCCTTTAGGCACTGGAGCTGCTCTGAGCTCTCCCCTTTAAGGAGCCTCATGGAGCTGTTTAAATGTTTAAATCCCCCCCACCTCCACTGCCCAGCCCAGGGCTCTGCCCCAGCCCTGGGGCCGGTTCCTCACCCTGATCCCATCCCGCAGCCCCCAGGAATTCCTATGGGAGAAGGAGGGCAGCGACGCTCCCCTGCAGCTGAGCTCCGACAGCGTCCTCATCTTCCCCTTCCTGAACAAGAGCGACAGCGGCACCTACGTGTGCACGGCCACCAGCTCCATGGGCAGCGTCGTGGCCAAGTACAACCTGGACGTCAGCGGTAAGCGGGGTCTGTCCCCCTGTGGGGTGCAGGGATGGAATGGTGGAGGCAGGGAGGGATGGGTGGATGGATGGGTGCAGGGATGGATGGATGGGTGCAGGGATGGATGGATGGGTGCAGGGATGGATGGATGGGTGCAGGGATGGATGGATGGGTGCAGGAAGGGATGAATGGGTGCAGGGATGGATGGGTGCAGGGATGCAGGAATGGATGGATGGATGCAGAAATGGATGGATGGATGGATGCAGGGATGGATGGATGGGTGCAGAGATGGATGGACGGGTACAGGGATGCAGGGATGGGTGCAGGGATGGATGGATGGAGGGATGCAGGAATGGAGGGAGGGATGCAGGAATGGAGGGATGCAGAGATGGAGGGATGCGTGCAGAGATGGATGCAGGGATGCATGCATGCGGGGAGGGATGGATGCATGCATGCAGGGAGGTATAGATGCAGGGATGGATGAAGGGGTGCCGGGATGGATAGAAACATGCAGGGATGGATGGATGGATGCAGGGGATGGATGGATGCAGGGATGCAGGTGCGTGTGTGCAGCTCAGTCCCTGCTGCCTCTGCTGGGGAATGGGAGCAGATGCATTGGGGGAGCTGCTGCAGAGCAGAGCCTCTGGGACAGGAGCAGAGGCTGACGCAGCTCCTGAGCCTCTGTGTGATGCCTCCACGAGCCAAAGAACATTCCCAGCCGGCTCCAAAGCACGAGGTGCCCTGGCAGCCCTGTCCCGTGCTCCCTGAGCTGCTGCTTGCGTTGCATCCCGTGTTGCATCCCGTGTTCCTGGCGTGTTGCATCCCATGATCCTGCATGGGAAGGGGCTCGGTGCTGTCCCCACACCACCTCCCCCTGCCCTGCCTGTGCTCTGCCACCGTGTCCTTGTGTCCTGCTGTGTCCGAGCTCCGTGTGCTGCCCCTGGAGCAGAGCTGCTGGTGGTACCACCCCCGTGTGTTGGCAGGAGCCTGTTTCCCTCTGGATTTGGGGTTCTCCTCTTTTTGCCGTCTCTCTTCTCTCTTTACCAGCCTTGGACTTCCCATCTTCCAGCTCTCCTACATGCTTCAGCTTTTCCCTTTCCCATCCCATTCCCTCCCCTCCTGCGTTGGGCACCTTCAGGATCCCTCCCCTCCAATGTGGCTGGGGTAGATGCAGTGCATGGCAGCAGTGGCACCCAAGTCCTTCTGTCCCGTTCCTCCATCACCCCAGTGTTCCCCCCCATTCCTGTGGGTCTGAGCTTTATGCAGGGACCAGTTTTGTGCTGCCAAGGGCACTCAGCACCATGCGGAGGCACGTGGCAGCCACGACTCCAGCATCCCTCACCCACTGGGTGTCCCAGCAGACGAGCTCCACGTTGAGGCTCAGTCCCCTTCCCAAATTCTCCCTCTTTTGCCCATCCCTGGAGCATCCGGATGCTTCCCAACCTCGGCAGCCCCAGGCAGGAGGGTCCTATGGGGCAGTCATCAGGGGATGCTGGTAAGGCAGGAGATGGGCTGATGCTCACAGCAGGAGATGAGGAGCAGGACCCATGGCCAAGGAAGTGGGGACCAGAAGGAGCCCCTGAGGCTGGGCTCTGTCACGCCTCCCCCAGGGGTTGATTCGTGTCCCTGTGTTCTTGTCCTCCTCAGATCTTCCCCAGCTCCCCACCCCACACGTTCACTCCACTCCGGGCCCTTCCCAGCCCATCTCTCATGCTTCCATGGCCACCGCTTCATCCTTCACTCCAGCTCCCATCCAAGGTACCGTAAGCTCCTTTTCTGTCTCTTTACGGACGCCAGAAGCTCCATAGGAGGACAGGGACCCACTCACACCCCAGGTGCCCCCCAGGCCCCTGGGGGCTGCTCTGTGCTCTGTGTGTGCGTGGGCTCTGCAGCCACCATCCAGCCCCGCGGGGTCCTGGCTGCCCGTGAGCTTTGTGTCCATGTGGAGCGTTGTCCCCGTGTCCTGTTTGTCCCACCCCGTCCTGTCCGAGCGCTTCTGTGGCTCCATCCCCTCCCTGAGCTGACGGGCACAAGGAGTGAGGAGTGGAAGGAGGATTTGTCCCTAATGCAGGATCCCAGGACTTGGGGTCCATGGGCAAATCCCAACGCGGAGGTACCCTGGGCTGCGCAGAGCATGGTGCCGGTGCTGCCGCCAGCCAAAGGGGATGGGGCTTCCCATCGCAGCCCATCCAGAGCCGGCACCGGTGGCCGTTGCTTTCCCTTCCTCGCTTCCCCGCTGCCTCCTTCCCTTCCCACCCTCCCTCCTTTGCTCCGGTGCGTGTCAGGATGGGGCTGAGCCTGTGCCGCAGCATCTCCCCCTCTCTGTTGCCCCAGACGCCAGCCCCGTGCCCTCGACCTCCAGCACGTACCACGCGGTGATCGGCGGCGTCGTGGCCGTCATCGTCTTCCTCCTGCTCAGCCTCCTCATCGTCCTGGGCCACTACCTGATCAGACACAAAGGTACCGAGCGCGTGGGGCCGAGCCCCACACGTGGGGTGGGGCAGGGGTGAAGGGGCAGCTCCGCATCGCGACAACGTCATCCCGGAGCCCTCCCGGGCTCCCCGTGCCCGCGGTGGCACCAGCATCAGCGTGGAGATAACGCAGCGAGTCCTTGGAGCTGGGGAGCACCAGGTCCTGCCCTGTTCCTCCATCTCTCCTTCACAGCTTGGTACCCAGCACCGAGCTCTCCCCCTCCATCCCTCGCCTTCCTCCTTCCCCTCCGCCACTTCCATGTCCCCATCCCTGGACTTTTCATCCGCCCGGCAGGTATGTGCATAAGACACGGGGAGACGGTCACATCCAGACACCGGCCAAAGCCAGCAGAGGTGATGTGTGAGTAAGAGCCCCCCACCCTGCCCTCGAGCCCGGCCCCTCGCCGGAGCGCTCCGCATTCCTTAGGGACCACAGGGATCGGGCGGGAGCAGAGAGCGGGGAGGGCAGGAGAGGCAGCTTCACCTCCTGGCTCGGGATGACGGCGAAAGCCTCGAGCTCCATCCCCAGCTGGGCTCATCCCAGTGACTTTTCCATTGCAGGCCAAGCCCAAAGGACTTCCCCATCACTTCCATTGTCCAGCCCTGGGGCTCTGCCCCTCTGCCCTGCTTTGTGTGGGAGCGGGGTGACAGCAGCACCCCTCCTGTGACACCAAACCCCTTTGTGTATGTGTGTGTGTGTGTCCCCACAGGCACATACCTGACCCACGAGGCCAAGGGCTCGGATGATGCCCCGGATGCCGACACCGCCATCATCAACGCGGAGGGCGGGCAGGCGGGCGGCGACGACAAGAAGGAATACTTCATCTAGGGCTGAGCGGGACCGAGCGAGCCACGGAGGCAGCGATGGCGACGGAAACCAGAGCACGACCCTAACCCATTGCACCCCCTGCACTTCCCCTGGCGCCCGGCACAGCCCCGGGCTGAGGGATGCGGGACAGGGGAGCACAGGAGCCACCGGCCTGAGCCGCGCCGCTGATGCTTGAACTTGGCCAACCCCTGGTTTCCAGGAGCGGCGGCTCCGGCCCCGCTCGCTTGCTTTGCGCCTCCATCCCCGTGAGTGAGCGATTTCCCCCTCCTTCCTTTGGACCTTTGCTTTGGTTTCGTGGCTGCTCTTTTGCTTTGGGCCCTCGGGTGGGAGCCTGGGCTGGGGTCGATGTCGCTCTTTCCTTCGTTTCGTTCCGGTTTGGTTTCTTTTTGAGGTATCCAAGGATAAAATCAGCCTCCGGGCTCAGGGCAGCCCCCGTTGTCACCAGCGCTCGCCCATCTGGAGCCGGGATCCCGGTGTTCCCTCCCCGGATGCGGTGGGATGGGAACTGGGGCATCACCGCCACCGGGAGGGGACCCCAGGCCCCCTGCCCTGATTTTATCCTTGGTGGTTCTTGTCCAACAGTGTCCATATGGGAGGAAGCTGTCCTCGTGTGGAACGTGTGTGAAGGGGGATGAGCTTCCAGGGTGGGATCCGCTGAGCCCCCGGAGAGACTGGGAGCTGCTGGGATTGCAGCTCCCCGGTCCCACCCCAGCGGGAGGGGGGAGGGAGGAGCTTTGGGGGTGAATCCAGAGGAAAAAGGGCCCCAACTTTATACCAAGTCCATTCGGAACCATCTATTCCAAGGTCGATTCACAACCCTCTATTGAGACGTTCAGTGCAGGAGGCCACCGGCCAAGTGCTGGACCTGCGGGAGCTGAGCTGGAGCTGACCAGGGTGGCATAAGGGCGAGGAGAAGGGGCTCCGATCCTGGAGCATCCCCTTCCCACCCTGTCCCCCTTCCCGGGTGGATGGGAGCTGGGAAAAGGCCGTTTCCCTCCTGGCTCCAAACGAAACACCCGGTTTAGTGTCCCAAGGGGTCTGTGAGGAGGCTGGGGGGGGGTCTGGCCTCCTTCCTCCTCTTCACTGCCTCTTCCAAGGCAAATCCAAGCAGCTTTCCTGGCCCTCCTCTTGATCCCCAGATCATGGGCTCATGGGCTCCAGCATCCAAGGAGCCAGGTCTTGGCGCTCTCCCTTGGGATGAGGCTCTCCAGCTTCCCAGGATCGCAGCATCTCTTGGTCTAGACACAAGGGGAGCTGCCCATTGGTTGGGTGCCCCTTTGATTTTGGGTGGGCTGGAGGAGAAGAATCCTTTGGGAACCCTTGGTGGGTGGTGATATCGCCTTGGAGGTGAAGGAAGAGCTCCCATCCTCCACCATGGGGCAGGGGTCTCCGTGGGGTACCAGGTCTCCATGGGGAGCATCGCTCCCATCCAGACCCCATGAGCACGTGGCAGGAGGAGGATTCCCATGGGGAAGCCCATGGTGGAAGGAGCAGGGTTGGAAGAGGAGGCAGCGTGGCTCAAGGGGGTGAAGGAGTTGATGGTGTTTGCAGCCTATGTGGGGACAGGATGAGGCTTTGTTGGGTGTCAGGAGCACCGAGCACATAGGAACGTGTGGCCCAGTCCTCGGCTGAAGATCTCCACCATCTGCTCTTGAACAGACGTCATTCCTTCAAATCCAAACACAAGGATGTGATTCCAAGTGGAGTTCAATCTCTCAAGTCTACGTGTTGTAGATGATGTGAAGAAAGCCCCAACCTGGGGCTCGGGGTGGGAAGGGGGTAACTGCTCCTAAAGGGCAGGAAGGTGGGAGCTGAGGACAGGGAGGTTTGTGCCCCTTTGAGGCTGCGGCTGCTGTTCCAAGGCTCAACCCAGTCGGGATTTGGTCCCTTGGAGGTGTTTTATGGTCCAGGATGGAGCCAGGACAGGCAGGACCCACCAGCAATGGATGGGCTGGGTGATGCCCATTGTCCTGCTGTGGAGAGAGCAGGAGCCAAAGGGCTTTGGAGGATGGAAGGGAGCAGCAGCGAGGGGTGATGGAGCCCTGTGGTGCGTGTGAGGGTGACGGGCACATCAGGTCACCCATGCGGGGCACACGGCCATGGGGACACAGCAGGGAGCGAGGTGATGGAGAAGCCACTTTGTGAGTGGTTCAACGGATCATGGCGAGGGTGAGGTGTGGTGGTGAGCACACCATGTCACGATAGGGGGTATGTCACGACGGGTGCCAGTTGTGAGCACATCAAGGTGAGGGGTACCCCCTGTGCTTGTCCGGTTGTAGATGGGACACGGGGTCCAGGAGGGGCTGGTCCACCTTGTCCTAAGCCCAAGAGGTGATGTGGGCCATGGAGGGGGTGAGGACCTTGATGCCCCTATGGGGGGTGACAGCACCCAGTGTCACCGTGGGGAGGGGACACCCTCCCTGCTATTGCCACCGGGGCCACCTCGTTGCCTGCACCCATTGGCTTCCAGCCCCATGGCCACCCTGTGCCCATCACCAGGACATCGGAGCCGGGGCTGCAAGTGGACAGAGGAGGATGCAGCCGGGATATGGCAGCTCCAGCTCGGCTCCGGCCGCTTCCCACCGGCACTGAACTCTCAATAGACACGAAAGCCATATTTGTAGGGAGCTCTGGAGACGCCGTGGGGCGGCAGCGGGACGGGGCAGAGGACGGGCTGTGTCGTTGTGCTGTGTTCGACGTGTATGTACATAAGGGGAGCCAAGGGACGTCGATGTGACTTTATAACCTTTTAATATCCTGTGCTAATCTCGGAAAATAATCCTATAAATATATCTGGATTACACACACGGACCTGCCTGCGCCTCCTGCTCTGCCTGCGCCCGCCATGGGGGGATCCGGGGGGCACCGGGAGTGGGACAGAGCTCAGCACCCAAAGCAGGGTCTGGACCCAGCCCCATGCACCCCTTTCACCCCAAATCAGACCTTTTCCTGCTCCCAAAGCACCCCTCTTAGCCCCAGTGCCCTCTGGGATGTTCCCACCATGGCTGAGGATGGTCCCACCGTGGTTGAGGATGCTCCCGCCGTGGTTGAGGATGCTCCCGCCGTGGTTGAGGATGGTCCCACCATGGTTGAGGATGGTCCCACCATGGCTGAGGATGCTCCCACTATGGTTGAGGATTGTCCCACCATGCGCGGTGGCCACCAGCCTCCCTCCAAGCCACATTTGCCGCTGCTGCTGCAGCACCAGGAGCCTGTGCTTCCCCCCCACTGATCCCATAGGATCCCATTGGGGCATCCCGAGACGGAGCAGCACATTTCCACACCATCCCCTCTCCTCCCTGCGCTGCCACCCGGCGCGCTCCGGGCCGGCAGCCGGAGCCATCCGCATGTCCCATCCACACAATTCCTGATGAGCTGGAGCTGTTCTGCCAAGAAGCCGTCGTTTCCTGCTCCAACCTCCCCGTCCCTCTCCGGTACCTTCCCGGCAGCGGGGCCCCCGCTTCCTCCGGGCCCTGGCAGCAGGAATTGCCCGCCCGGTGCAGCCGCTCTTATCTCCTGCCCGCAGCCATCACCTCCCTGCGGCGGGAGGAGCCAGCAGGAGAGCGCTCGGAGCCGGGGTTGTGGAGCCCCCTCCCCAGAGCCGGAGCTGTCCCAGGACCCCCATCATGGGCAACTGCATCCCGGTGGTGAGTGCGTGCGGCTCCATGGGCTTATCCCGGTTTGCTGGATGCGGGAGGAGGAGCAGCAGGGACGGGCTCCCCACAGCGTGGCCCTCGCTGATAAGTCCCTGCCCGGCTCCCGTGGCACCAAGTGGGGGCACATCGGGATCCAGCCCAGCCCGTCTCATCCGCAGAGCCCCAGCCTCCTGGAGAGCAGGAGTTCCCTGCTGGACCTGGTGGAGCTCATGGGCAACTTCTCCTCCTATGATGATGCTGATGATGATGGCAATGAGACCTCTCTGGACTACGGGGCCGCGCCGTGCCATAACCAATACTGCTCCGTCTTCCAGCGCGTGGCTCCCCCGTTCCTGGCTCTCACCAGCGCCATGGCTGTGCTGGGCACCGCGGCGCTGCTGTTGGCACTGGCCAAGCGGCCCCAATGGCCACAGAGCCGGGCGCTGGTGGCACAGTTGGCCATGGGGACGGGGCTCTTGGCCGCGGTGCTGCCGGCCGTGGCGCTGGGCATCGGGCAGGGCTGGCGGCTGGGCACGGCGCTGTGCCGGCTCATGCACCTCCTCTGGTATTGGAGCCTCTTCGCCCAAGGGCTGCTGGTGGCCTCCGGCTCCTGCGGCCGCTTCTGGTGCCGTTGGGATGCGCGGAGCCGGCGCTTGGCCGTGGCCGTGTGGGCCCTGGCGCTGCTCTTGGCGACACCAGGGGCTCTCACCAGCGGCACCACGGCGGTGCCGGAGCCAAGCTGCCTCCGGCGCAGCGTGGACCTCGTGTCCCCGGTGAACCTCCTGCACCTCGGCCTCTGCCTCTGCCTCTTCCTGCTGCTGCCGGTGGCAGTGCCCACGGCCGCGCTGGCCGTGCCGCGGTGGAGGGCGCAATGGGTGCCGGACCTGGCCGCGAGCTGGGTGTTCCTGGCGCTGTGGGTGCCGCACGGTGCGGCGCTGGCCACGGAGCTGCTCCTGCACAGCCGGGTCCTGCCGCAGACCTGCAGCACCTTCCAGCACTTCGACTACGTGCTGGGGCTGAGCGAGGCGCTGGGGCTGCTGCACTGCTGGATGGGACCCGCCGCGCTGCTGCTGGCTGCCTGGCTCTGCCGCGCCGGCACCGGCCCCTCGCCCCACAGCATCGCTCCTGCCCCATAAGCAACGCTCCCCCCAGGCCTCGGGGAGCTGCTGCATCCCAGCCTTGGTGCCCATCTCCATCCCCTTCCCCACTGCTTGGGGATGGGCACCTCCATTCGCTCCATAGGCATCGCCCTGGGGTGCCTCAAGCATCTCCCCAAGGCTTCAGGGGCACCCATGGGGAGGGTTCAATGCGAAGTGATGGGGGGGGGGGTGTCCTTCTTTCCTGACAAGTTGGGGTGAGCCCCATGCTGGGAATTGCATCCAATATATACGTGTGCTGGAGGCGCTGCCAAGCTCAGTGAATGACCGGGGCTGGGGGGCACCGGGGGTGACATTCGCCTCTGGAATGCTGAAGGACGGGAAGCAGGAGGCGTGTGCTGCTTAAAGGAGCAGGAAAAGCTCATCATGGAGTTCCATGGCCATAATGAAGGTCATACCCAGCGCTGGCCGGAGCCCATGCGGAGCAGCCACGTGCGGTCACAAGGCACATGGAATGGGAGCGGATGGAGGGCTTGGGGGGGGGGGTTCTTCTGGTGCCGATGGCTCCAGCCTTGGGCTCCATCCCTTTGTCCCTGGGGATAGGATGGGAGGATGGAGGTGAAGCCCCCGAGGGCACAGCTCCAGGGCTGCCCCGTGCAGGCGGGTGACCCAGGGCCCTGTGACGGCGTGAAATTGCTCCTCCTGGAATGGGCTCGGGATTGGGGTGGATGCAATTCCCCTCCCACCCTTCTAGCCCATAAACCCGGCGGCTCCCGGTGCAACCGCAGCAGCCGGGACCATGGCACCGCTGCTGCTCTGGCTCAGCATCCTGGCCGGGCTCCTGGGGACCGGGGCACAGGAAGGTAGGGACAATGCTGGGGATGGGGTCAGGCAGGACCAGCGGGGATGAAGGATGCTGGAGCCCGGCTGGGATCAGCAGAGGGGATGTCAGGGATGCGGTGCCCAGGGGTGGCTGGAGGAAGGCTCGGAGGGGACCACATCTCCTTGTTGTGTGTGTGTGTGTGTGTGTGTGTGTGTGTCCCAGACCTGTACCGCAAGGTGTTTGTGTTCCGGAACGACCCCAGCGATGCCTACGTGGTGCTGCAGGTGAAGCCAGAGCAGCCGCTGCTCAACTTCACCGTGTGCCTACGCTCCTACACCGACCTCACGCGGCCCCACAGCCTCTTCTCCTACGCCACCAAGGCGCAGGACAACGAGATCCTCCTCTTCAAGCCCAAACCGGGCGAGTACCGCTTCTACGTCGGCGGCAAGTTCGTCACCTTCCGCATCCCCGAGAGCCGCGGCGACTGGGAGCACGTCTGCGCCGGCTGGGAATCGGGCACCGGCATGGCTGAGTTCTGGCTGGATGGGAAACCCTGGCCACGCAAGGGGCTCCAGCGGGGCTACGCGGTGGGGCCGGAGGCGGTCGTGCTGCTGGGGCAGGAGCAGGATGCCTTCGGGGGGGGGTTTGATGTCTACAACTCCTTCTCGGGCGAGCTGGCCGATGTGTACCTGTGGGACACGGTGCTGAGCCCCGACAGGATGCGGGCGGCCTTCCAGTCCCTGCGCCTGCCACCGGCGCTGCTGGCCTGGAGCAGCCTCAGCTACAGCATCAAGGGGGACGTGGTGGTGAAGCCGCGGCTCCGGGCGGCGCTGGGGGCCTGAGGCGCTGGGATGGAGCGGTCCCAAACCCCCCTGTGTCCCGGTCCCAGCACCCCCTTGCCTCTGCAACCACCGGGAGGGAGCATCTGCGTGGTACAGCCACGGAGATCCGGGTGGGATGGAGATGGGAGCTCTGTTAGGATGGAGATAGGAGCTCTGTTGGGATGGAGATGGGAGCTCTGTTGGGACAGAGTTGGGAGCTGTGTTGGGACGAAGATGGGAGCTCTGTTGGGACGGAGATGGGAGCTCTGTTGGGACAGAGTTGGGAGCTGTGTTGGGACGAAGATGGGAGCTCTGTTGGGAAGGAGACGGGAGCTCTGTTGGGACGGAGACAGGAGCTCTGTTAGCACAGAGATGGGAGCTCTGTTGGGACGGAGACGGGAGCTCTGTTGGGACGGAGACGGGAGCTCCGTTGGGATGGAGATGGGAGCTCTGTTGGGATGGAGATGGGAGCTCTGTTGGGATGGAGATGGGAGCTCTGTCGGGACGGAGATGGGAGCTCTGTCAGCACGGAGATGGGAGCTCTGTCAGCACGGAGATGGGAGCTCTGTCGGGACGGAGATGGGAGCTCTGTTGGGATGGAGATGGGAGCTCTGTCGGGACGGAGATGGGAGCTCTGTTGGGATGGAGATGGGAGTTCTGTCAGCACGGAGATGGGAGCTCTGTCAGCACGGAGATGGGAGCTCTGTTGGGACGGAGATGGGAGCTCTGTCAGCACGGAGACGGGAGCTCTGTTGGGATGGAGACGGGAGCTCTGTCAGCACGGAGATGGGAGCTCTGTCAGCACGGAGACGGGAGCTCTGTCAGCACGGAGATGGGAGCTCTGTCGGGACGGAGATGGGAGCTCTGTTGGGATGGAGACGGGAGCTCTGTCAGCACGGAGATGGGAGCTCTGTCAGCACGGAGATGGGAGCTCTGTCGGGACGGAGATGGGAAGCTCCGCTTGGGCTCCACCGACTCCAGCGCTCCCCCCCCCCGGACCCACGGACCCGGTTACAGATCCCGACCCCATCCCGGTGCATCCCGGTGGCCGCAGGGGCTGCGTCCCCCATTCCCTGCTGTACCCCCCCTCCCCCGGTGTCTCATCAATAACAAACGGGTTAGCAGAGCAGTGATCGGTATTCCCGGTATTCCCGGTATCCCCGGGGGGGGCAGCCCCGTGTCCCAGCGCCCGCCGCGGCCCCGCCGCCGCTTCCCCCCCCCCCGGCCCCGCTCCGCTCCGCTCCATTGCCGCTGCTCTCGGAGCCGCTCCCGGCCCCGCTCCGCCGCCGCAGCCGCCGCCGCCGCTGCTCTCTCCGGTAACGGCGGAGCGGGGCCACGAACCCGGCTCTGCCCCCGGAGCTCCGCAGGACGCGGCCGGGACCAGGCCGCGGGGCCGGGCCTGGCGCTGCGGCCTAACGGGAGCTCGGGGCGGGGCCGGGAGCTCGGGGCTGGGGGGGGGTGGCCACGGTCTATGGGGAGGTACCGGGGGGCCTGTGGGTCCCGGAGGTCTGAGTGGGGGCCTTGGGGCTCTGGTTGAGGGGTCCTGGGCGTCTGGGTGGGGATCCTGGGGGTCTGTTATGGGGTATGGTTGGGGGTCCCAGAGGCCTGGGTTGGGGTTCCAGGGGGTCAGGTTGAGGGGCCCAGGGGTCTGGTTTGGGGTCCCAGAGGCCTGGTTGGGGGTCCCAGGGGTCTGTTATGTGGTCCAGGGGCCTGGTTTGGGGTCCTAGGGGTCTGGTTTGGGGTCCCAGGGGTCTGTTATGGGGTCCAGGGGCCTGGTTTGGGGTCCCAGGGGCTTGTTACGGGGTCCAGGGGCCTGGTTTGGGGTCCTAGGGGTCTGGTTTGGAGTCCCAGGGGCCTGGTTTGGGGTCCAGGGGCTTATTATGGGGTCCAGGGGCCTGGTTTAGGGTCCTAGGGGTCTGGTTTGGGGTCCCAGGGGCCTGTTATGGGGTCCCAGAGGCTTGTTATGGGGTCCAGGGGCCTGGTTTGGGGTCTGAGGGGCTTGTTATGGGGTCCAGGGGCCTGGTTTGGGGTCCTAGGGGTCTGGTTTGGGGTCCCAGGGGCCTGGTTTGGGGTCTGAGGGGCTTGTTATGGGGTCCAGGGGCCTGCTTTGGGGTCCTAGGGGTCTGGTCTGGGGTCCCAGGGGCCTGGTTTGGGATCCCAGGGGTCTGTTATGGGGTCCGAGGCGCTTGTTATGCGGTCCAGGAGCCTGGTTTGGGGTCCTAGGGGTCTGGTTGTGGGTCCCAGGGGTCTGTTATGGGGTCCAAGGGGCTTGTTATGCGGTCCAGGGGCCTGGTTTGGGGTCCCAGGGGTCTTTTTTGGGGTCCCAGGAGCCGCTTGTGGGTCCCCGGGGTCTAGTTTGGGGTCCCAGGGGCCTGGTTTGGGGTCCCAGGGGTCTGGTTGGAGGTCTTGGGGGTCTGACTGAGGGTTCTGTGGGTCTGGTTTGGGGTCCCAGGGGTCTGGTTGGGGGTCCCAGGGGTCTGGTTGGGGGTCCCAGGGGGTCTGACTGGGGGCCTGCGGATCTGCCCAAAGTCTGCCTGGCGCTCCTTCAGTTCCCTGGGGTCTGACTGAGGGCTCGGGGGGCGGGGGGGGGGCTCTGGTTGTGGGTCCCAGGGCAGTGGCCCCAAGGAGCGCCCCATTCCCTGTCCCCACGGCGATGGGGAGCAAGGAGCCGCCCAACTTCTCGTGGGTGTCCGTGGGGCGGCTGGCGGGGTTGGCCATGCCGCGGGAGCCGGCGCACTACGAGTTCCTGCTGCGCCAGGGCGTGCGGCACTTGGTGTCGCTGACCGAGCGGGACCCCCCGCACCACGGCACCTGCCCCGGCATCCGCCTGCACCGGCTCCGCGTGCCCGACTTCACCCCTCCGACGCCGGCGCAGATCCGGACCTTCCTGCGCCTGGTTGAGGTGGCCAATGCCCGTGGGGAGGTAACGGTGGGGACAGCACCGGGGGGGGGGGGGGTGGTGGTGGCACCGGAGGCAACACCCGAGGCTGACGGCGCGGTACCGGCACGCAGGCAGTGGCCGTGCACTGCATGCTGGGGCACGGCCGCACCGGTACCATGCTGGCGTGCTACGTGGCCGAGGAACGGCAGCTGGAGGGTGCCGATGCCATCCGGGAGATCCGGCGCCTGCGGCCCGGCTCCATCGAGACGTGGGAGCAGGAGGAAGCCGTGATCCGGTTCTGCCAGCGCTGCGGGTAGGTGCTGCCAGCCCCGAGCTGCAGCTCCCAATGCCCAGCGCTCCAATGGGATCTTCCCCATCACAGCGCCGGGGAGGACAATACGGAGCCGTGAGCGGCCGCCACGGGAGCAGCGCCCCGAATCATGGAAGGGTCTTTCCCAGCTTCCGATGTCTCCTCCTGCATTAAAGGACTCTCCTGTGGCTCCTCTCCAGGTCTGGCCATGCGGAAGCGGCGGCTCTGCCGGGATCCCTGCCCGGCACCGGCCTCACCACAGGGGCCATCGCAGGCCGTTGATGCTTAAAGTGTAGCTTAGGCGGAATTTAGGCATCTCCATCCCAAAGTCCGATCCTGGAAATCTCCTCTCAGCCGCTCCTAACCTTGGTGCCATTTAAATCCCAAGTGCAAGAGGTGTCACCGGCCCCGTGCCTCGGGCACGCGGCACATGGCCGGGAACGCCAGCACCCAGCCCTGGGGCTGCTGGGGGGGCACCGGGACCCCCATAGAGTGCCTTGAAACACCCAAACGTCACCACCTCCCTGCAGGAAGCCGAGTTCCATGGGCGATGCCATGGCTCCCATGGGCTGTGCCGCCGCACCGGGATGTGGGGCTGGATGGGGGGAGCTTGGCTCTGCCTGGCCCCATTCCCTGGGGCATGAGGGGCTGGGGCGGGGGGGGGTCCCAGCAGAGCACGGGGGGGGGGACAATGGGGATGATGGGGACAAGGGGCCAGCACCGTGCCCTAAGCCCGCGGCTGCCGCCGGGCTCACATGGGCCCGGGAGAGGCTGGAAAGCAGCTTAAGCGCAGAATTATTTCCTTTAACTCCTCTTACTTTAGCGCTGTCCTCAAGAGTCTCCAGGCTCAGGGGGCCAGGCCGGGCCGGGCCAAGGGGCACCGGGGACCCCCCTGCCCCAGGGAACACGGGAAGGAGGGGGGGGGTCGGGATGGGGGCTCTGCCCCAGCCCCCCCCGGCTCCGTGCTCTGGTGCTGCCGCACACGGCCTGAGCACAGAGCTCGATGCCGGCTCCTCGATGGCACCAGGGGTGGTCCCTTCCCGGTCAGCCCCGGTGCCGCGAGGGCACCCGGAGCCCCCGGCCTGGCGGGCAGCCCAGCTCCGGCTCAGCACGGCGCAGAGAGGGGGGGGACACGGCTCCGGTGGCCGTCCCTGTGCCAGGGACATGTTTAGGATGGGATTAGAGCAGGGGCATGGCAGCGCTCACGGGGTGCCCTGGGCCCCTACACGTGTGCGGCCGGGCACGGCATGGCACGGCATGGCACATCATGGCTCTGCAGGGTGTTATATGGTGCAGCATGGCAGGGAAGAGCTTGGTATGCGTGGCGTGGTGTGGTGTGGTACAGCAGGAAAGTCTCAGCACGGCATGGCAAAGAATGGCACAGCTTGGCATGGCACACAGGGCATGATAACCCCGCGTGGCACGGTGTGGTACGGCAGGGAAGAGCTTGGTGGGGCACAATGTGGAACGGCAAGGCTTGGCTTGGCATGGCTGAGCGTGGCACAGCACGGCATTGCTTAGCATGGTGCCAATGCAGTGCAGTGGGTAAGAGCTGGGCATGGCTTGGCTTGGGATGGCACAGCACGGCCTGGGATAGCCTGGCATGGCTTGGGATAGCCTGGCATGGCCTGGGATAGCCTGGCATGTGTTGGGATAGCCTGGCATGGCTTGGGATAGCCTGGCATGTGTTGGGATAGCCTGGCATGGCCTGGGATAGCCTGGCATGGCTTGGGATAGCCTGGCATGGCCTGGGATAGCCTGGCATGGCTTGAGATAGCCTGGCATGGCTTGGAATAGCCTGGCATGGCTTGGGATAGCCTAGCATGGCTTGGGATAGCCTGGCATGGCTTGGGATAGCCTGGCATGGCTTGGGATAGCCTAGCATGGCTTGGGATAGCCTGGCATGGCCTGGGATAGCCTGGCATGGCCTGGGATAGCCCGAGCCTCTGCCCGGGGTCTCCGCCGTAGCCCCCGGTGCCCTCCGAGCGCTGCCCATGTGCCCCGGTGGCCGAACTACATCTCCCAGCAGCCCCCGCGGCTCCCACCTCCCCGCCCCGCCATTGGCTGCTTCGGGGAGCGCCAGGCTCAGGCCTACCGATTGGCTGTCGCCGTGGCAACGGGCCGGGGGGGAGGCGTGGCTTAGGCCGGCCCCTCCCGGCACCGCGGGTTTGTTTGCGGCGGCGGCGGCCGGAGCACGGGGCGAGCCGAGCAGGGCCGAGGGGAGCCGAGTGGAGCCGAACCGAGCCCAGCGGGGGCCGAACGGAGCCGAGCGGGGCCGGGCATGAGGAGCGGCGGGCGGCGGGACCGGCAGCGCCCCCCGCCCGGGGCCGGTTCTTCGCTGGGAGCCCGGCGGAGCCTCCGGTGAGCGGCTGCCGGCCCCCGGCGACCCGCGGGGACCTGGGCTATGCGGTGGTGGCTGCGCGCCGCCGTCCTCAGCCTCATCGCCGGCGCCGACGGTAAGAGACCGGCACCGGGACCGGGACCGGGGGCAGCGCACGTGGTTCCGCTGGCGGGGCTCATCCCTCGCCTTGTCCCCGCAGGCACCGGGCAGAACGAGCCCCGGTCCGTGGTGGGGCGGGTCGGGCAGAGCACGGTGCTGAGCTGCGGCCTCCCGGGAGCCCTCGAGAACCGGCCCCCGCTTTACGTGATCGAGTGGGTCCGGTTCGGCTTCGTCCTCCCCATCTTCATCAAGTTCGGGCTCTACTCCCCCCGCGTGGACCCGGAGTACGTCGGTAAGTCCCGGAGTGGGGGGGTGCGGTTGTGGGGTCCCCACTTTTGGGGCTGCTGCTGCCGTTGGACCCCATCACGATGCTGCCTCCGGCTCCGGGATGTATTGGGGTGACCAAAGGGGTCCCCACTGCAGAGCAGGGTCTCCTTGGGGTGCAGGGATGCCCGGAGCAGGGGGATGTGGGTACCGGGATGCAGGGTGGGAGCAGCTCCATGGGCAGGTCCCATCACCTCCTGCTTGGCAACCCCAAACCGGCCCGGCTCTCCCGTCCGGTTTGTTGTGCTGGGCACGGTGGGATGCTGCCGCCGGAAGGCTGATCCTGGGAATGGGATTTTGGTGAAGGAACTAATGGGAGTAAAGCTGCTCCGGGGCAGGGCTGCGCGGCGTGGGAGGGGGATCTGCTCCTGGATGTACTGGGATATACCGGGTATTTACAGCAGAGCTTGAGGGATCCCTGTGAGCATGGAGGTAAAGGCAAAGAGCATCCCTTGAGGACTGGGGAGGGCTGCACCGACCTCTTCTGCATGGGGAGGGCTGGATGGTGCCCGCTTGGGAGCCTTTAATCCCAAATCACTGCGGTTCCAGCCAGCCATGGGCAGAGGAGATGGCTTTTGGGGTCTCTCCCCCTTTGCTCCTGTGCTGGCTCCGTGGGACCGGTGGTGATGGCAGTGAGCACAAGGCACTGGTTTTACCAGATACCTGGGCCAGGCTGCTGATACCTGAGCCTGGCACCGGGGCCCCTCGGCTGCAGGAGCTCCGGTTACCGACACAGCCCGCATGGGGGAAGGGGCTGGTGGCTGTAATGAGGCCGAGCTGGTGGCAGGGGGGCTGCCGGCTGTCACCATGGCATCGGGGCGGCTTGTTCCCAATCCCCTGCAGGGCTGGGAAGGGATGGAGGGACCGGGGGTCAGCCCCTGCTCTTCCCCCCCACACCCCCCCCCGTGTCCCTCGAGGGGCGATTGGGAGCACCAGTTGAGCTGCCACCAGCCCCATGAGAGCCTTGGGGTCACTCGGGGGACCGGATGCTCCTCGTCCCCGTCTGTCCGCATCCATCGGACGCCCCATCCCGGTGGCTGCAGCCCCCTTTGTGTCCCTCTGAATGACGGTTGCCAGGCGCTGGGGGATGGTTTTGTTATCGCAAGGGGGTGGAAGAGGAGGAGGAGGGGGCTGGGGCCAGCTCGGGGGGATTAGAGGAGGCTGGGGCACATCCCCTGGGCCCTTCCAAAGGGACCTTTGTTCCGGAGCCGGCAGCTGCGGGCAGGGATGGGGATCCCTGGCGCTTCCCAGTGTTCACACGGGAACCCCCTCGTCCCACCGGGATTCTGCTGCTGCTCCTGGGTGAGGTTTTCCTGGGGCTTTCCTTTGTGCTGGGAGCGAGGGATGGCACCAGCAGCACCCAGACCCGTTCGGCCCCACACCTCGTGGAGCTGCCCATGGGGAGCAGCAGGACCCAGTGGGAGATGTGGCCGGAGGGAGCTCCAGGAGCCACTGGCATGGGTTCACATGGGTTTGGGTTCACATGTTCTATGATCCCGTGTGTGATCCTATGTGTGATGATCCTGTGTGTGATCCCGTACCCAAACCAGCCTGCCTGGCTCTCCTTCTCTTCCTCACTGCGCTCACTGGGCAGGGCGCAGCCTCCCATAGCCCAGCTTGGGCTCCGGTGGCTCCTGGACCAACCAACGGCACCAAACTGGGTTGAGCCAACAGTGGGATTTGGCAGAACTCCCTTTGGGAAGCCTCTGGTCCCAGGAAGCTCTGGGATGTCACTGGGAAGCTCTGGGATGGCAGCAGGAGCATCACGGGCCCAAAGAGCAATGACCCACAGGGCACTAAACGCACCTCCCCAGCCTGGAGCCGTGGTCTGGGTTGGGGGTCACATAGCCCTTGGGGTGCTGGGGGCCGGGGTGCTGGGTGCACCCCAACTGCAGCTGAGCCAATTGCCCGCTGCCGCCTGAGCCGATTAGGGCTCTGATAATAGCGCAGGGGATTAGAGCCGCGCTCGCCGCCGCTCTGCGCCCTTCTCCTCCTCCTCATCGCAGGGGCTGTGGGGCTGCGTGGGCCCCACGGCCGGGGAGAGCCCCCCCGTTATTGCCACCACCACATCCCCTAAGGGGGTCCGTGGTGCTCATCCCTGCGCCGGGCTGGGGGGACCGGTGATGGGGGGGCTCCCCAATGAGGCCACCCTAGGGTGGGCAAAGCCATGGCCGCATCCTCTCCCTGGAGCCCTAAACCTTGGTGTGACCGAGTTCCGTGGCCATTCCCAGGCTCCGGCAGCACCAGGAGGACCCCGCGGGGCACTGGGTGCAATGGGGGGGGTACCCCGGTGGTGCCGGCGTCCCTGTGACGGTCACTCCGTGCCCCCAGGTCGCGTGCGGATCGAGGAAGGCGCCTCGCTGCGCATCGACCTCCTGCGCGCCGAGGACCAGGGCTGGTACGAGTGCCGCGTGCTCTTCCTCGACCGGCA